GATAGAGGAAGATATGAGAAAGATGAAAGTGTGCAACTGGAAGAAGGTAGCTCAAGATAGGAAGAGATGGGGACATATTGTTCAGGATGCCAGAGCCCACCAAGGGCTGTAGTGCAAGAGAAGAAGAAGACAGGATTTTGGTAATTATACAGAAAGTCTGCCATTGGATAAGGGTTTTATTACAGCATAGAATCTTCCTGTGGAGTATGTCTCCTTATCATGCTCGATGTGTGAACCAACTCCACATTTCATGTTAAACCATTACCCAGGTGTGACATTTCAGATTTTTATTCTAGTGTTTTACATCTTCTCACTGCTTGGTCACGGATAGGGTGGACAATGCATTGTACTCTGGGGACAGTACGTTGTGCAACAGCAGCTTGATATTTCTCATTGCCTGCCACAACCGAGGTTTGAACCATGGGTCCGACTGATTAAGGGTGGAGGCCTCTGACTGCTTGGAAGTCCTACAACTTCAATACAATTTCTCTTACCATTTGTTCTCTTCAAGACAATGTACAAACCTTTAATGAAAGAGCTTGTCAAGATCACTGAATTTGTGTTTTGTAACATTAAAGAATGCATAATTTCAATGTAGGTTTCTTCTACAGACAAAAATTATCATTGCTTCTTCTTCATCTACTGTGCCACTTTGACACAAAATTTTACGGTGTGCCATAAACCTTGAAGATTGCTGTAGTCTGGTAGATGTCCACCTTGTTTGGCATTAGCCAGAATATAGTGGATTCCCCTCCACTTCTACTATACAGACATTAGACAAAAATTCTGGTGTATTTAGATGTAATATTTGGTCTTGGTATTGTGGAACAAGACTTTCTTTGCATAATGGAGACATTTTGTAGGAAGCCGCATCTACAAGATCTTCCTGTCTAGGCACAGTTGTGGAGGATGATAATGTGTGGCATTTTTTAATCATCAACACAGATGGTCTCATTTTGGTTTCTGTGATGTGCTGAAGGAACAACTCTTCTATCTTTGATGCTGTCTGTGCATCAAGTGACGTCACGCACCAGTCATTATTCCTTCTTGTGTCTAACACAGTGCCTCACAGTTTGTCTGACTTCTATTTTTAATTTTTCATACAGTTTGCTCAATGCTTTGATTGAAGTCTGTTTTAGGCATCATCATAATGTCAACCAGACTCTTAAAGAAATAAGTTGTGAGGTGTAGATTAGATTCATCTGGCTCGGGTGAGTGGCTCTTATGCACACGGTAATGTACCTTCGGTTTCCAGAAAAGGTGAACATTTTCCTGCGTCGCCGAACATACTGTTACTATTAGCATTATTATTTTTATTAACATACGACGACAACGATTGTTGTTGTTGTTGTTATGGTGATTATTAGCTTCTCAAGAACCATGTGTTACATGGAGCTGGATATTGCAGGAACACATTTAATTCTTGTCCATAGGTTTTCGCGGCTGGAGTTCAAGGTACAACTTTGGCCGAAACCATATATCGTCGTTTAAACGTAATTATTTAAATTATTGCTATTTAATCTGGTTTGCAACTGGAACCAATTCACGCTAGGCCATTACGGCCGGTAGTATATATTATTTACCGCCGTCCTTTCAAGGACAAATTTGAGACCCTTGTCTTCTGCCTTCCACACAGTCACTGAGGCTTGTCTTGCCTTTGTAGAGAGAGAGAGAGAGAGATCATGCTAAAAAGCACCTGTATCAACTGCTGTTGCAATCAAGACTGGGGGAGTGAGTCACAGGCTCAAATTTCGTCATTAGTCTGGAACCAAGTGAAAAGAAGAGTCGTTTTCAAAAATTGTTTCAGCATGTGAATCTGGAAAGAAACAAACCAACTCCAGGGAACAAAGTCCTTGAAAACTAGTAGTCATTTCAACCTTGAAGATGGTGACAGCATGTTCCGAGGAAATTTTGTTGAACACACAGCGCAACAGCCCAGAAGACCGCAATCTGGAGCAGTTCATCTAGTCGAGACATTCCCCACCTTTATCGAACCTCAAGATTCATTACCGTGTTCATTAGAGCTTGTCCTGAGTCAGTCAGCCCTTTTTCTTCAAGATGCATTTTCATACTCAATATGACTGTCTTCTATGGCATTGCGCCTTGTAGGCTAGTAAATATTTACCGACGTTTCATAGGTGTTGCTGGCTCCATCATCAGGGCGATGAGTTAGCCGTGCGCGAGGATTTTATGAGATATGAGAACCAGTCGGACAAGGAAGAACCTGAAATCTCACCATTTTGACACCAAACTTCACGCTCATGCCAAGTAGGCCCTAAGGTGAAGTTATAGCTTGTATTTTAATCTTTGCGTTTTTGGATAGCAGAGGGGATGAGAAAAGTTTCTGATCAGAATTGCAGCAAGTATTCCCAACATTCAGTCCAAGTTTGACTTTTGTTAATGCAAATTTGTTTTGTTACTGTAGTTCAAAAATACTTCAATGTTCCACATTTTCGAGGAATTTATTTACTTTCTTTAAATTGTGATTTTTTCCTGCATTATGATCACACGGCATGGATGTATTATAATATTGTGTTTAGCTCTAGACGAAACTCCTCATTTTTTATATCGTTGTTTTCTCCAATTTTACTAACCAACATAAACCAACAACTACATGATGAGAAGGTAAAGTAAAGCTGTCCCACTATACGCCATGTAGGCGCTTGGGGGGAGTGGAGGTATAGCTCCTACTAATTCTTGACTTCGGCACTAGATGGAGGTCAGCATCGCGCCCTGGTCGCGCTTTACCCCCGGGAAAGACCCCGTTACCCATTGATTAGGAAACTGGGTGCGCCCCAGAGCTAGTCTGGTCGCAGAGGCTAGAGGAAATATCCTCTGCGCCCGTCGGGGGTCGAACCCCTGTCGTCCATTCCTTAGCTAATCACTATACTGGCTGATGCATCTCCTTGTTTCAGATCATTCTGAAAACAAAATACAGCAATTTTTAAAGCGAACTTTATTATAGGTTTCATTTAAACACATTTTTATTAGCGTGAATAGTTTTATGGTTATCCATTATTCAATGAAATTGTACTACACTTCTCTCCTGGTTGAATCATACCCAGTAGGTTTTGAGGTCCTCACGGCGATGAATACGAAAATGGCTGTATTCTGGTTTGTAGCTCCGTGTAATATGGTAAAAGTTTACCATCGTTTCAGAGGTCCTTACTGCCCCCATCATTGCCCAGGCGATGTAGGCAGCAAGTACTTCTAGGAGACTACTCGGTGCTACAACCCAGAAGACAGCCACATTTGAATCATACCCCTTCTCGAAGTCACAAACGGCTGTTGTAGTGTCTCTTCGTACCCTCATTTTTATCTAGTAAGTGACAAATACGGAACATCTGACCTATTACTCAGAATCTAAACTGAGGATCCCCAATCATTTTGATCAGCTACGTGTGGACTTAGAAATGAGATAAGAATGTTAGCTAACATTTAATACGTAGTCGGTAACCATGATATTTCTCAGTAATTACTTCGGTCAATTTTACAACAGAACAGTAATAGCCAAAATTCCTTCCGCTGTTGTGGTAATTCTTTTCACTCCGAAAAGAATCAATAAGTTTGTGGACCTCAGAATATGATGTATTATCTGTTCCTGGATAAATTCTGCCAGAATGACATCAATACCTGGCGGTTTATATCATATTTGTCGCCGTGAGAACCTCAAATCTAACGCTGCAGTTTAAACTGTTGCCCTGACGGTAACAAAATTTTCTTCACTTGTATTCGATGTTTATCGAGCTCACTGATGGATAAAAAGGTGCGATTCGTTATGAAGGCAGAAGGCAAAGTTAGAAGACCACATTCAAACAAATGGCGTACCACTCATTTCTGGAACATGGCCATCCAGCTTAAAAAGTCTACGCTTCATTTA